CCCCCCTGTTTTGAGAGAAATCTTCTGCATCCGTGGATGTTTTGTTGCCCTTGTCTAGCTTGGATTAATACTTACTCTATAGGCACAGACCTGATCATCTACATTTGCCCTCTTACAGCACTGAATTATGTTTTCTACCTTTATCTTGCATCTACCTACCACTTCAGCATTTTATTTAAAAAATAATAATAATAATAATAAGGGAGAAATGTGAGATTCACATATAAATCAAGTATAAAAATCAAATGAATATCTGACTTGATTGTTTATAGTTCATGATGCGTGATCAAAACCGAAAGTTTCTGTGATATGACTGCCCTTGCACTGTTCACCATGTAAGAACTTATTCACTATGTAAGACCTTGTTCACCATGTAATAACTTGTTCATTATGCTTCAGAAGATTGGAGACTGTTGAGAACTAGGCTTGGGGTTGATTAATGATGGTGCATTGAGTCCCCTATACAGAATTTTATTGTTGTTAACAACCATTTGATCAATAAATATGAAAGATGCCCTCTCAAAAAAAAAAACAAAAAAAAATTACCAGTTTTAATTTCTAACATGGTAAATATTGATATAATCCATATAAACAAAAACTGTTTGGCATACCCAATATTTTCTGAGTGTAGAGATAACTGAAGCTGAAGAGTTTGAGAATTGCTGGCCTAAATGGGCCCTTCACTGTGTGGACAAGAGACATACATAGGGGATGTCATTGCAATAATAAAGGGGACATTTAATATCCCTTCAACAAAAAAAGGATAAATTGTGAAATATTCATTCAGTGGAATATTAGTTGAGATGCACACACCCACACGCAAATCTCAAAAATATACTGTTGAGAAGGGAAAATTGTCAAGATATATGTTGTCAATGATTTCTATTTTAAAACAACAAATAACAGTACCTATTGTTTAAGGATAAACATGCATACACACTTCTGACTTGAGTCAAATGGCTCTTTGAACCATAGACCTTCAGAAAGATACCCCCCAAATTCCTAACCTTGTCTGCTTGTAGGGAGAGAGGAGGTGGGGGATAGCACAGGAAGACACTCTGCTTACGTGTAATGTGTAATTTCTCCTATTTAAAAAAAAGAGGGTTATCTTTTCCCTGCTCTTGGCCAGAAAGCAGGCCTGCTTTGGGACATCATCTCCTCCAAAGCCCTTCCTTCCCCGAGGTCATCACCTACTAGAAACCTTTCCTGGTAGCTGCTGGAGTCCACGGAACATTAGGCATTGACTCTCTACTAGAAATCTACTTGTGTTGGCTGTTACTGAAGATTTTATTATTGTTCTACCTGAAACCAAGGTCAATGCTATGAGGATGAAATTTACAAACCTGTTAACTTTTAAATACCCCTTTCTATATTTTTATATTTCAGTCCTATATTTTTCATTCTTATTTAAACCATCTTAAACCCTGTCCATATAAAACACATGCTAAGTCAGGTAGCTTTCCGAAAGGGCTTTCCATATCTGTAGGCATGTTTATACTGATCTTTGCTACGTTTGATCTCTAGTCCCTGGGGTTTCTTCAGGATGTGGACACAGGAGGAAAACTTGATATGATCAGAAGTTTTTGTGCCTGATTATTTTTTGCTTTGCAAGAGTAAATTTATTAATTTCCAAACAAATAT